GCTGCGAAAGCTCAAAGGGGAAAAGATCGACTGGCAAGCCATGCACGATGCCCGCTGGCCGAAGTCCCGCTGCCAAAAATGCGAAGGGCTCAAAAGCTGGGACCTCTTCTCCCACGCGCAGTGGGAACTGGTGCGGGCAAACCGCGGCGGGCAATGCCTACAATGCCAGCGCGGAGCGATCAACATGAAGAAGGGACCGCTCAAGCGCAACGTCAGCACCCAAGCGAGCCTGGCAAAGAGCGTCAAGTGCAACCGGTGCCACATCACAAAAGTCGAAGAAGCCTTCCCGAAGGCCCAACTGGCACAAACGCATGCCGACACCAAGCGCCAGTGCTCCGAGTGCCGCCTCAACACGCCCCAGATGCGCTGCACGCTCTGCGGCAAGCACAAGTCGAACAAAGACTTCTCGCCCGCGATGCTAACCATGCCAGACGCTTGCCTCGTGTGCACGGACTGTCGGCAGCAGCTTCCGGAAATCGCGCGCGCCCGCACAGGCGGGTTCCAGTGCAGGACATGCAAAGAAAGCTTTCCCAACGACGCTGCGGGCGACGAGCAAACGAGATACTGCCTCAACTGTGCCAGAAGGCACGAAAGGCAGCCAGGATGGCAGACATGCTACAACAGGAAGTGCGGCAAACGCTTCCAAGCGACGAAAAAAGGACCCTGTCCAGAGTGCGGGGGCCGGAAGCGGCCAAAGACAGCCGACATCAAATGAGAAAGCCCGGGAGACAACCCCCGGGCAGCGGAAAACCCACCCGCTCCACATTGCTCGTACAGAGGAAAGCGCGGAGCCGCTGCCAGCCGGACGAGCGCGAAAAAGAAAACGATTGCGAGGGCTGCAGAGACGCGAAAAAGAAAACGATTGCGAGGGCTGCAGAGACGAACTGCAACGCCAAGCCGCAGAAAACATCGCCGTGCTACTGAAAGCAGTCAGACAGCACACGACTCGACTGCATACATCCGCAGCCCGTCTGCTCACAGGATATCCGCCTCCCCGCCCCCCCCCCCCCCCCCCCCCCCCCCCCCCCCCCCCCCCCCCCCCCCCCCCCAAAAAAAAAGAAAACACCTCAACCAAAACAAACACCAGTCAATGGAGGCTCAACAGCATCCAACAACCAACAATCCATCAACAAGACAAAAAAAACCCACCCCTTGACAACAAAACAACCAAAGAACAGGTGTCCAGCCGAGCCACAACCTCCAAGATTGACGCCGCGCTGGTGCAGCTCGACTGAACCAAGCGATCGTAACTACCCTCCCCAAACCCATCTCAGGGCTGCGACAAACAACAAATTAAGACACGAAACCAAGAACACCCAACCACCCACCACTCAACACGCACCACCCACCACCCACCACCCGCCCCCTACCACCCACCGCCCACTACCCACTACCCACCACGCACCACCAACCACACACCTCCCACCGCCCACCGCCCACCACCCACCACCACCCAGCACCCGCCAGCCACCTCCCACCACTCACCGCCCACCGCCCACCACCCACCACCCACCACCCACCACCCACCACCGCCCCCCACACACCACGCCCACCACCCGCACCTCCCCACTAACCACCACGCACCACCAACCACACGCCACCCGCCGGCCACCACCCGCGACTACCTAGCACGCCGCCAGCCACCACCCACCGCTCACCACCCACCACCCACCGCCCACCGCCCACCCACCGCCCACCGCCCACCAGCCCACCACCCGCCATCCACCACCCACCACCCACCGCCCACCGCCCACCAGCCAGACCCCCCCCCTCCCCACCCACACACCACCCACCACCCACCACCCACCACCTACCGCCATCCAGCACCCGCCAGCCACCACCCACCACCCACCACCCACCACACCACCCACCGCCCACCGCCACCACCCACCACCCACCACCCACCACCCACTACCCACCACCCACCATCCACCACCCGCCACCCACCATCTACCGCCCACCACCCACGCCCACCGCCCCCACCAACCACCGCGCACCACCAACCACACACCTCCCACCGCCCACCGCCCACCGCCCACCGCCCACCACCCACCACCACCCAGCACCCGTCAGCCACCTCCCACCACTCACCGCCCACCCGTCTCAGGGCTGCGACAAACAACAAATTAAGACACGAAACCAAGAACACCCAACACGCACCCCCCACCACTCAACACGCACCGCCCACCACCCAACACCCACCACCCACCACCCAACACCCACCCCCTACTACCCACCGCCCACTACCCACCACCCACCGCGCACCACCAACCACCCGCCAGCCACCACCCACCGCCCGCCACCCACCACCCGCCACCCACCACCCACCACCCACCGCCCAACCCACCACCCACCACCCGCCATCCACCACCCACCACACACCGCCCACCGCCCACCAGCCAGACCCCCCCACCCACACATCACCCACCACCCAGCACCCACCACCTACCACCATCCAGCACCCCACCAGCCACCACCCACCACCCACTACCCACCACCGCCCACCGCCCACCGCCCACCGCCCACCGCCCCCACCCACCACCCGCCATCCACCACTCACACAGCCAGACCCCCGCCGCACACCACCAACCACACACCACCCACCACCCACCGCCCACCGCCCACCACCCACCACCCACCACCCACCACCCACGACCCACCACCAACCACCCACCACCCACCACCCAGCACCCACCACCAAGCACGGACCACCCACCACCAATCAACCCGCAACCCAACACCCACCCCGGCCACCCACCCATCGCGATGGCTACGAACAAACACCAGTCAATGGAGGCTCAACAGCATCCAACAACCAACAATCCATCAACAAGACAAAAAAAACCCATCCCTTGACAACAAAACAACCAAAGAACAGGTGTCCAGCCGAGCCACAACCTCCAAGATTGACGCCGCGCTGGTGCAGCTCGACTGAACCAAGCGATCATAACTATCCTCCCCAAACCCGTCTCAGGGCTGCGACAAACAACAAATTAAGACACGAAACCAAGAACACCCAACCACCCACCACTCAACACGCACCACCCACCACCCACCACCCGCCCCCTACCACCCACCGCCCACTACCCACTACCCACCACGCACCACCAACCACACACCTCCCACCGCCCACCGCCCACCACCCACCACCACCCAGCACCCGCCAGCCACCTCCCACCACTCACCGCCCACCGCCCACCACCCACCACCCACCACCCACCACCCACCACCGCCCCCCACACACCACGCCCACCACCCGCACCTCCCCACTAACCACCACGCACCACCAACCACACGCCACCCGCCGGCCACCACCCGCGACTACCTAGCACGCCGCCAGCCACCACCCACCGCTCACCACCCACCACCCACCGCCCACCGCCCACCCACCGCCCACCGCCCACCACCCACCACCCGCCATCCACCACCCACCACCCACCGCCCACCGCCCACCAGCCAGACCCCCCCCTCCCCACCCACACACCACCCACCACCCACCACCCACCACCTACCGCCATCCAGCACCCGCCAGCCACCACCCACCACCCACCACCCACAACACCACCCACCGCCCACCGTCCACCACCCACCACCCACCACCCACCACCCACTACCCACCGCCCACCATCCACCACCCGCCACCCACCATCTACCGCCCACCACCCACGCCCACCGCCCCACCAACCACACCACCAACCACACACCTCCCACCGCCCACCGCCCACCGCCCACCACCCACCACCACCCAGCACCCGTCAGCCACCTCCCACCACTCGCCGCCCACCCGTCTCAGGGCTGCGACAAACAACAAATTAAGACACGAAACCAAGAACACCCAACACGCACCACCCACCACTCAACACGCACCGCCCACCACCCAACACCCACCACCCACCACCCAACACCCACCCCCTACTACCCACCGCCCACTACCCACCACCCACCACGCACCGCCAACCACCCGCCAGCCACCACCCACCGCCCGCCACCCACCACCCGCCACCCACCACCCACCACCCACCGCCCAACCCACCACCCACCACCCGCCATCCACCACCCACCACACACCGCCCACCGCCCACCAGCCAGACCCCCCCACCCACACATCACCCACCACCCAGCACCCACCACCTACCACTACCCAGCACCCCGCCAGCCACCACCCACCACCCACTACCCACCACCGCCCACCGCCCACCGCCCACCGCCCACCGCCCCCACCCACCACCCGCCATCCACCACCCACACAGCCAGACCCCCGCCGCACACCACCACCCACACACGACCCGCCACCCACCGCCCACCGCCCACCACCCACCACCCACCACCCACCACCCACCACCCACCACCCACGACCCACCACCAACCACCCACCACCCACCACCCAGCACCCACCACCAAGCACGGACCACCCACCACCAATCAACCCGCAACCCAACACCCACCCCGGCCACCCACCCATCGCGATGGCTACGTTTACGTTTCGAAATTAAGTTTCTGGGTTTAGACAACACCCCCCTATGAAAGAAGTGCACCCTCAAGTTGACCGGGGCGACTGCTACGCTGTCGAACCCTAAACCTTAAACCTTAAACCCTAAACCCTAAACCCTAAACCCTAAACCCTAAACCCTTGTGAGACTGGTTAGTCTCACCCTGGTAGCCTTGGCCCCGCCAAGAAATCACCAAATGCAATGAAGAAAGAGGCGCCCTCGCCTTTCAAGTACCGCAATGAATGATTGGCCCCAATCGGAAAGAAAGATCACAGACCCCGTCTGTCAAGGAGCGTCCCACGCTCTTTTCCGTGTCTCCGCTTCAGCTCTCGCGATCCATGCGCTGCTCCGCAGCGGCCTCTAGAACCCGCCCTCCCTGGACCCTCGAGCCTTCCACAGGCATCGGATGAACATGTACAGATCCTGACAGCGGCAGATTTCACACTGCTCTAAAATTCTTTTGTACAAGTTCATCCTCACGAGGACCTCCCTTCGCAACTGTTCGGAGTCTCAGCCCGCTGGACTCTTTCCAACACCACTGGTGTTCAAGAAGGGTTTCTGGGGAGGCTGTGACAGCCATTGAACTGCCTCTTTGCGCTGTGCCGTCTTAGTCAAGTTTTCGGAAGCATCATAAAGGCGGAATCGGCCTTGGGCCAACACTGTTCGCAACAGAACTGGGTCCATGGGTTTGGTCAAACTGTCAGCTACCTGTAAGGTGGTAGGTATCCATCGGAAAGTGGCATTCTCCGAGCAGCGCTGTTTTATCAGCAATACCTCCAAAGTCGTTCGAAACTCTTCGCAAGAAGGCATAGCCAGTCGGGTGACTAGATCGTAAAGGGACTTACAATCTGTTACTATGGTTGCAGTGCGAAGTTCCTTAAAGCTGACCTCGGGTTCTTGCCAACGAAAGGTGCTCACGTGAATAGTGCCCCACAGGGCACGAGTCCATCCAAGAATATCTACGGCCTTTGACATGGCATATGCCTCAGCGGATAAGGTGGACCTTACTACTCGGGGTATCTTCTTAGAACTCCAGGCTATTGGGGAAATTGGGGCCTCACGATTAAGGTTCAAACTCTCGTCTGTCGCACAGACCAAGACTCCCTGGTGGGAGCTCAAGTTCTTGGCCGAGGCAAAAGACGCATCCCCAAACGACACAAAGGTGAGTTGGGACACCGGGATCGGAAGGTAACGAATGCTCACCTGCGAAGTTTCCTGAGCCTCTCTAAGTACTTTATTCGCGGATAAGAGAGTTTGGATGGTCGGGCATGAGGTCTGGCTTTGGATTTCACCCAATTTGGCTGCCATGTCGGGACGGGTATGCGTGATGGCATACTGCAAACTACCAATTAGACCCCTAAGCTTGGACTGCTCACTTTCATTAGCCTTTTCTTCAAGGTTTTGGCGGCGGACCCGACCTACATCTATCCGGGGAATACTCCGGACATAGTCTCCCTGACTCGCCTGAATCGATCCATCGACGTGTTGTCGCAGCTGAATGCCAGTAAAGACGAAGTTATCAAACTTACGACTCCCAAAAGGCAAAGTTTTCTGAAGCTCATCAATCTTTTGCTTAAACACGGAATCCCCACCACCGACACCATCATCAACGTGCATCCCCAGGATTCCATGAAGGGTATCATTTTGATACAACATAAACACGCATGGTTCTAACGGATGTCGGGTGAATCCCAGGCTTAGCAGCTGCTTGCTCAACTCCTTGTAGAACAAGAGAGGAGCATCCACGCGACCGTAGGCATTTCCTAGGAGCTCACAAACTTCATCATCCTTAAGACCTAAAGTTTTCCTAAGTTCCTTAGGGGGTTCCATGGCCAGTGGATTGGATGCATCGGCTTTGCCACGGAGAAAGGCTGTCTTGATGTCGAATGAGCTCAACTGGAAACGCTTGGAAGCAATGGTCTGCAAGACTACGGCTCGACCTTCTTTAGACAACGTCGGGGCATCCCGGGTGACTTCCACTAGCTTAGGGTCCTGGTACCCTAGAACCACTAATCTAGCTTTGGCCCTTTGCTGCGTTTCTCCTTCCTCTGGCGCCTTCCACGTTAGGATCCAGCGGCTCTTCAGAATCTGTTCGGGATTCAACTTGCGACGAAGAATGGCACGGATCGCAGATGTCTGGACCCAACAATTGATTTCCTTCTGTTTGGCTTGTTCAAACAGGGCAACTTCTTTCGTCGTCAAGTCCTTTAAACACACCTCAGCTCGGGTCCTCTTCATCGCAGCTGCTACGGCAACCAGTTGACTTGGGGAAGTTTCCTTACGCCAGCGTTTTACTTCCTTGGGTTTAAGGTCTACCTCAAGACAAAAGGCTTGCTCAGCATTACCCTGAAGAGGCTGGTGAACATAAGGAAGATTGTCTTCGGCTAGAGGAGGACAGGCCGGATCGGCTCCCTTTTCAAAGGACATGAAGTGCAGCAAATCACTTTCAGAACCCTCTGAAATGTTGGATTCCTCACAAGACAGAAAAATATCTTCAGTACACAAACCTTCATCCGATCCGGGAACGGGTATGTCTTGGGGATTATCGGCTACCGGAGGCGCTTCACCCGAGGTCACGGAAACGGGCGGTGGAGCTGCAGCAGAGCTAGGCTCGAGCTCGACACCGGCTGCTTCCTGGCTTACTTGGGGAGTTAACTCTTGCTCTGGCTGACCGATTTCTTCAACTGGATCAGTGGCTTCCATACCGCCTACGTTGGGTGCGGGGACTACTGGATCAGGCGCAAAGGCAGGTGGACCTAACAGACTACCGGAGCCCGATGTCGGGCCAGATTCACCAGGATTACCAGCGGGTGCCGTCAAATCGACAAACGAACTGGCACCTCCTGAGTTCTTCCACGTCTCATCCACATGTGAATCGGTCAGGCTCTGCCATTCTCTCAAAGACGCCGGTCGTAAGTTCTCAGGAGCGCTTCGGATGATCGTCGTTCCGTGGGCCACCCACACAATGGATTTCCCCTCAGAACATATTACTTTAGCTGGCCCATGCCAGCGACCAGCTGCAAGTCTGTTAGGAGAGCTTTTCTTAGTCCAGTACAAAACCCACATCCCGGGAGTGAATGGCCCTCGGAGCGGTGTGCTTCGACGAAGGGCGGCTCGGCGGATGGTTTGCGAGTTGTCTGCTTCCAAAAAGGCCTTGCGGGCGAGACATCTCAAATTCAGTCTCTGGCGATGCCTTTCTGCCTCAAGTTCGGCACCTTCGGCTAAAGCGTGCGAGGTTAAATCCTCATCGGACGTAAGGCTCCCGGGAACACGTAGGGATTTACCAAACACTATTTGTTCGGGGGAGTATCCCTCATGGCGGACAAGTGCATTCTTGGCCATAAAAAAAAAAAAAAATGCCTTATCAAAAGCTACATCGTTGGTGATTGGTTCAGCTATATCTAGGCGTTCCAACATTTCCTTAAGGATGTCTCCATGCCTCTCTAGGCGGCCTCTTTGCCACGCGGCTGCCGTGACATGCGCTTGCACATTCATGCCTTGGAAATACTCTAGCACTTCCTCTGAGCGAAACTCCCCAGCAGGGTCCAAATACACCCGTTTAGGTGGACCAGCCCAATTTAGCCAGAAATCATTAAGGGCTTGAATGGCATCAGCAGCATGTCGAGACACGGCTCGGCGACCTTGCTGAAAACAGCTTGCCTCATCAATGGCATGTAACACATAGGCTTTAAAACCAGACTTAGCCTTAAAATGGAACCCGTCTACACCAATTAAGTCATTAAACTCTCTGGGCTCGGGCAATTTACTGGGCCGTTGATGAAGAGGATGTGTGGATTCCAGGCAGGTGTCGCACTGGAACTCGCGAGCGGCTTCGATGATGTGCGGCTCTGCCTTTGCCGCTTGAAGATGGCGAGCCAGTACATCGGGCGAGGGGTGGCCTAGATTTACATGGACGCGTCTTAGTGTCGTCTTTTCCTGGGAACTCAGATTCCGATACGCGGGTCCATGTAGGGGGACTGGAGGCGGGGCCCAGCCTTCGAGGTTAGGGACTGATGCATTGGCGGAGGGCTGTGCGCTTGACTCACCGTCTCCAACAGGAGTCGTCTGCGCAAACACGGTCAAAAGGCAGCGCGCGGGACGAATCCGAGCTCGCTTGCGGTCATTACTCAGCGAAGACCTAGTCTCCTTACCTATACACCGGTACTCCATATCATGATTGGCTGATTCCATTGCCACAAGGCTGATTCGTATGGGGGCGACTGTAGCTGGTAACGCGCCAAGTGGATGATGTAAGTTCTTTGACCCACAACCAACAAAGACCTGAAGAACCCTATACTGGGGCAAGGCTTGGGATATGCGGGTGATCACATCGTGTTGCGGGGGAATTAATATAGGACTGGCTCGGTTCGTCAACTCAAGTGCTGCATCGAAGATCGGCTTCCACTCAAGACTGGGCAAAGCTTCGGGCATCTCTGTAGAAAGCGGAACATCCAGCCGGCGGCGCGGCTGGGCACTTTCCTGTGGGGCATCTGCTGATCGCTTCACTGATCCTAGGGTGGGGCAAGGACTATGGATCCCTACAGAAGTCTTAAACCGTTTACGGGTCAGTGGGGGATCGGGACCTTGTGCAACCATGGCTTTATCAACATCGCGATCCTGTAGCAGATGACACGCAAGATGATTCGCAAAGCCCGGGCAGTACGATGCAGCATATTGCGACACGGTCTGGCTCCCTAACTCCCGAATTCTTCCAGACAACGGCTGATGGACAGGGTGTCCACCACACTGTTTGGCGATTAAGGTCCTAAGTAATTCTGGGGAGGAGCTAAGGATAGCGGTCGCTTTCTTGATTGGTCGTTTACTCACAGGTGTTTGTAGTCCAAAAGCGCACATGTCTATGTTCACCCGTTGGGTTTGAGAGACAATGGGTTGCAGGTAGGGCTCGCGTAACATGGAAGAACCGACTGGCTGTTCCATATGGAAAGCCCGGCCGTGTCGCTTTTGCCACTCAAAAAGCTTACAGTACAGCTGGAGAATGACGGTTTCTCTCTGCCGACCGGCCAACATCCGTTGATTGTACGCTTCACTACGTGCTGCATTGAAATGGGACCACGAGTTCCATAGCCTAGAGTCGGGAGCAACCCAGATGTGGCGTGGCTGCGTTTTCTGGATAACATTCCAGAGTTCCCTTTGGCCTTCCGTGGTAGAGAGATCTCCATGCTCCTTCGTGAATCGTTGTGCGTGACCACCAAGGTCTCTCACTGCTTGCGTCAGGCGACTATCAGTATATACTGATACTTCCAACAGATCTAACTGCTTCTCTACCGGTTGTTGATATGTTAACAGGGAATCTTCAAAGGTTTCCCAGGACGCGATCTGAGCCTGATTAAAGGCTTGAACGCATGCTTCAACGGCCTGGTGTGCTTCGGTCAACAAGGCAGGAGCTGCTAACAGATGACTACCTTCCTCGAGAGCCTGGCGCAACATGGACTTCGGAGGATCGAAGACAGGAAGCTCATCGAGTGCCTGATTCGCTTGCTCGGTCCTGTAGGGATCTGCCTGTGGCATCTGCTGAGGAATTTTCTGCAGCGGAAACCCTTTATCCCGGAGCCACCTTTGGTCTTCAGCGGGGAGTTTGTAGTATGCCTTGGAGGCATATCCCACAAGAAGCAAGCGATTGCCGCTCCACGGCATAGAAGCATGGTACTCATGTGGATCGATGAGCATCGGATCCTTCAAGCAACGTAGTGACCCAGCGACCTTCTTTCCTTTGCACATCATATTCACTATGCGTTGATTGGGACCTGGGGGGCCTGCTACCCACACTTCTCCTCCCTTTTGGGGGTACACAAGTGGCACAATCAGATTGGGAATCTCTAAGCTGTTGTAACTGTCCTTGTGAGGTTTTGCTTTGACATTGCAGGAAATCGAGATGGAAGTGAATGGATGGTCCGGCTGCGCCTGTGTAGCAACATGAGAAAGTACTTGGGTCAGCCACGGATACTCCTGTGACACACGCGTCACTCCAACAACTCCGCCGTGCACATACGTGCCGAATGTCACATATGCAGGCGCCAGCTTCTGAGAATCCACTGCGTGTTCCACTGCTGACCGAGGTGCTTTCCTAGGACGTCGAAGCTTATGCCAAGGGACTTGCCTCAAGAACCTACGCATTTCAGCAGCTGTACCTTGACCCTGAATTAGATCCTTAGCTTGTGCTTCAATACCCTCCTCTTCAGGGAAATCCTTCGACAATGTAGGGTTCAGGAGGGCCTTAATTTCACTGATACAAGCATCAACTCGATCTAGGCAGACGGCTGGCTCAGGCTGAGTTGTTGGATGGCACTCAACATCTGCTGCATCATTCCTTCCATCTGGTTCATGCGAACGCTTAGGTCCTGAACCTGAGTCTCCATCATGATCTGGTGATCGGGATCGGTCACCATGTCCCAGGGATCCTCCGGTTGATTGGACTCGGGCACTGGCCCCTTGCGGGGAGCCACCTTGCTCTTTGGGCTTGGCTTGGAAGCAGCAGGGACTTCGGTGGAGGCTCGTAAGTCCTCTTCCAAAGCTTCGGCCTCGGAAATGTGGCGTTCGATGTAGATCAAGAGGATCTGGTGGGCATGCTTCTCGCTTGAGCTCAGATGATCGCAAACCCAGCGGATCCAGGCCGGTTCGGCCACGATCACATCCTCGAACAGGCGACCTTTCACCTGTTTCCCGAACGTCACTGGCAGCTTGCCCAGATCGGCCATGGGCGCCACGCGCGCCTGCTCCAGAGTGTAACTCTGGGTGCCGTCCGTTAGACGGGAGAACCTGGCTCCGAGGGAGAGTCCGGACTCCGCCTTGGGGGCTGACACACCTGGGGCTGTCTTGCTCATGGCCATGTTGCAACGCAGACACAGGATCGGAAGTTGCTAAGGCAGGGGATGCTAGGGCTTTCGCGGCTGCAAGACATGCAGCGGGCTCATTGTTGATTGGCACCCTCGGATCGCTCGCTGCGCTCTTGAAGGACTGAGGCGCGGCTGAAGTAACATTAACACGTTCCGGGTATTTACGGAATCGGGGATGAAATGAATTCTTTACCTGGGGACCCCAAAAGGAACGAGGACACGAGGGTGTACAGTGTTGTGTCCATTCCTTCTTCACCGCAGGTTTCTGATCTGTCATGCACGGCTCCACGGGCACTTTGGGCTTTGGGCTCTCGGGAGGTCTTGGGAGTGCTTCACTGTCAGCATGTTGGCACTGCTGCTCACCTTCTCGCAGACTTTCTGCGCTCAGCTTTGCCAGATCCAGCAGGTAAAGCCCGGTGGCACTATTGTGTAGACAAATTGTCTTGTGAAGTCGCTGAAGGCTGCAGACGTCGTTGACAGTATCAATGACTCCCCCTAGCTGCTTTATGGCCCTTTTAGAAAATAGCAACGGCGTACTGCCCTTCACTATTTCTATCCCAAGCCACAAAATCTGGTGATCTATGGTCCGGATAGGTACAAGGATCCGTTTCGAACTGTCCAAAGTCTGATTGTTCCCGAACCTAAACTTCACAGCGCTACGGGTAACCCGAACCATATCCCGGACCCTATCACCCAGTTGGCTTAGAAAGGGATCCAGCAGAAGGTGGCCCATGACACAACGGCTTGCACCTGTGTCAAGAATGGCCTCTACAGCAGTCGTGCTGTGCATGGCCGCCTCTGATTCACAGTGATGGCTCAGGGAAGCGGCTTCGAACCGGTTCGGGAGGAACTCAATCCATGATTTGGCTCCACTTCTTTGCGGCCTGGGGGCAGGTTGGTTGGGGGTTGCCGACTTACGTTGCTGTAAGTTGTATATCATGGTCGTCAAACGTTCCCGAACAGTACAGGGCTTAGGGTTAACCGTGGTGTTAAAGGCCTCGGCAAGGGTGAGGGCTTCCTCGGGTAGCTCAGTCAGGACCTCGAACGCTCCATCGCCACTGCGATGGCCTGCCAAAAGGGCAGTCGCCGGATCAGGATCCACCTCGGCCACCGAGGTTGCGGCCTCTGCCTTCGCAGAGTGGGTCATTGAGCCTGGCTTGCCGTACTTTGGACATTCTGCTTTCCAATGTCCACGCTCTCCGCAAGCCCTGCAAGTAGACTTGGCGATACGGGCTAGCAATTGATCACGCCCGCTCTTCCCTTTCCCTTTTCCCTTGCTCCCCTTTCCAGCAGCTTTGGCTCCCTTCGAACCATTCACCGGCCAGAAACCGCGCACCTTTCGTTTGGATAACAAGCGGGATCTTGCTTCCATGTAGCTCACCAAGGCCTCCTGCATCTCCGGGGTGTCCTGGAAGAAGCTTTCCAACTCCTCCTCGAAGTTCACCACCGTGAGCGCGTCGCTGTCCTCTGCAGCGACCAGAGCTTCCAAAAGCTCCGAATCAAGCTCCGGTTCATAGTCGTCTCCAGTTCCTGGAGCCACGGCGGCCTGGTAGGCCCGGTCGAAGTCGTCTGCTCCGGCCTCGTCGGCGATGTTGGCATCGTAGGTCTTGTTTCGGAATGCGCCTCGCTGGCCCTGCAAGTCCGAAAAGAACCTTGAACCCAGCAAACGAATTGCCGAGCTCACCTTGTCATACTTGAGCGCCCCTGCCATCTCCACGACGATCTTCTTTCGGTCCTCCGATGACAGGGCCGACTGTCGCAACAGAATGTAAGCCCGGACCTCTTCAAAGGTCACATTCTGTGCTAGCAGCTCCTCAAAGTGAACATCATGCCGTGCCAGATAGCTGTCATTCGACTCATCAGGCTTCTGAACGGTGCCGAAAATCGCCTTCTCAAAAACATCATACTTCAGCTCCACCGTCGTGCGGCCCCATGACCCGCCTAAGGTCTTGACCAGAAGCTGAACACCGCTATCATCACTGCTTTTCAGCTTGTCAGCTGGAAGCGATGACACTTTCTTGAACGCTGTGCCCTCGCACAACAGAGCAGCTCTCGGGGCAAGCAATGCTATGCTCTCCTTCGGCCACATGGCCGCCAAAAACTGTAACTTCTTTGTATACTCAGTGACATCTGTCGTCCCAGGAATGAATCGGGGGATTGCCGTCCACGGCAGCTGATAGTTTGCCTCACTTGGGGCAGCTCCAGTGCTGCTGGCCGGTGTCTCGCCTGCGGTAGGCGGCATCTCTCCAAAGGTTCCCAGATACTCGCTTTTACGCCACCAAAATTCAGCGAAGCTCCAGTTGCTCCGCTACCAGTGTGAGACTGGTTAGTCTCACCCTGGTAGCCTTGGCCCCGCCAAGAAATCACCAAATGCAATGAAGAAAGAGGCGCCCTCGCCTTTCAAGTACCGCAATGAATGATTGGCCCCAATCGGAAAGAAAGATCACAGACCCCGTCTGTCAAGGAGCGTCCCACGCTCTTTTCCGTGTCTCCGCTTCAGCTCTCGCGATCCATGCGCTGCTCCGCAGCGGCCTCTAGAACCCGCCCTCCCTGGACCCTCGAGCCTTCCACAGGCATCGGATGAACATGTACAGATCCTGACAGCGGCAGATTTCACAACCCTAAACCCTAAACCTTAAACCCTAAACCCTAAACCCTAAACCCTAAACCCTAAACCCTAAACCCTAAACCCTAAACCCTAAACCCTAAACCATAAACCTTAAACCCTAAACCCTAAACCCTGAACCCTAAACCCTTAATCCTAAACCCTAAACCCCAAACCCTTAACCCAAAACCCTGAACACTAAACCCTAAACCCTAAACCGTAAACCCTAGTAGTGGCTTCTAGGGTTTAGGGCATGTTTGGTTGGCCTTTAGGGTTTAGGAAGAAAGTGAATATTTTTCTAGTGTTTTGGGATTCTTTGGGCGGGTGGGTTTTTTACTATTACACTGCTGGGCTAGTGATTTCTTAGCCCAGCTAATCGTAAACCCTAAACCCTAAACCCTAAACCCTAAACCCTAAACCCTAAACCCTAAACCCTCAAGCAAATGATAAATAGAAGGTGTGTGTTGGACGGTTCGGATGGCAGGGCCATGACAATAGCAATAAGCGTGTTGTGAAAAATGTTTTTTCATTGCAAATTTGTTGTTCTGCGAGAGCTCGAAAGCAGGGGCAGGGCAGGTTCGAGGCAGCAAAAAACAAAGCCACCTGCACCAAAAAAGCAAAAGCAAAAACCCTGTCAAAACCCGCCCGAAACCCGCCAAAACCCGCCAAAACCCGCCAAAACTCCGGACCCAAACCCTACACACCTTCTATAAACCCTAAACCCTAAACCTTAAACCGTAAACCCTAAACCTTAAACCCTAAACCCTAAACCCTAAACCCTAAACCCTAAACCCTAAACCCTAAACCCTAAACCTTAAACCCTAAACCCTAAACCCTAAACCCTAAACCCTAAACCCTAAACCCTAAACCCTAAACCCTAAACCCGAAACCCTAAACCATAAACCTTAAACCCTAAACCCTAAACCCTAACCCTAAACCTTTAATCCTAAACCCTAAACCCCAAACCCTTAACCCAAAACCCTGAACACTAAACCCTAAACCCTAAACCCTAAACCCTAGTAGTGGCTTCTAGGGTTTAGGGCATGTTTGGTTGGCCTTTAGGGTTTAGAAAGAAAGTGTATATTTTCCTAATGTTTTGGTATTCTTTGGGCGGGTGGGTTTTTTACTACTACACTGCTGGGCTAGTGATTTCTTAGCCCAGCTAATCGTAAACCCTAAACCCTAAACCCTAAACCCTAAACCCTAAACCCTAAACCCTAAACCCTAAACCCTAAACCTTAAACCCTAAACCCTAAACCCTAAACCCTAAACCCTAAACCCTAAACCCTAAACCCTAAACCCTAAACCCTACCCGCTCGAAGCCCGCTCGAAACCCGGTCGAAACCCGCCCGAAACCCGCCAAAACCCGCCAAAACTCCGGACCCAAACCCTACACACCTTCTATAAACCCTAAACCCTAACCCCTAAACCCTAAACCCTAAACCCTAAACCTTAAACCCTAAACCGTAAACCCTAAACCCTAAACCCTAAACCCTAAACCCTAAACCCTAAACCCTAAACCCCTAAACCCTAAACCCCTAAAGTAGTAGTAGTAGTAGTAGCAGCAGTAGTAGTAGTAGTAGCAGTAGTAGTTGCAGTAGTAGTAGTAGTAGCAACAGTAGTAGTAGTAGTAGTAGTAGTAGTAGTAGTAGTAGTAGTAGTAGTAGTAGTAGTAGTAGTAGTAGTAGTTGTAGTAGTAGTAGTAGTAGTAGTAGTATGCAAAATGCCATTTGCCAAAAAAAAAAAAATCCTCCAGCTGCTCCCGGCCGCCAGAGGTTGATCCCATGCTCCTTGAAGCCGGTGCCAACACCAGCTTGGAGACGAATGATGGGATCAAGTTATTGCAGGGCCCTCCACGTGATCTTCACAAGCCTCAGGGCCCACCGGGTGGGAATTGAGCATCCACCCCCCTGCTCGAGGAAAACCTCGCTCCCTGAGGCACCAGTTTTGCACACCCTGGAGTTGCAGTTTCCGCTTTGCCGCCCTGGATTGCTATACAACCTTTGTGCTGGAAGTGCCTTGTTTCGGATGCTGGCAGCATGGTGCTTCATCGTAGTACAACCTTAGTACTGGAAGTCTCTGGTTTCGGATGCTGGCTGGATGACTACCAGTACTACTACTACTACTACTACTACTACTACTACTACTACTACTACTACTACTACTACTACTACTACTACTACTACTACTACTGCTACGACGACTACTACTACTGCGACAACCACTACGACGACGACTACCGCGACAATTATTACTATTGCTATCACTGCCACTGCAATGGATGAGCTCTGATCTGAACATTATCATGATGCGCACATGGATGCTCTGCGGCAACGGAGATGCTCCGTATTTTGATCGCCCCGATACGCCTATTTCATCGCTCCGACATCCCAATTTTGTCGCCCCGGAATTTCTCTGTGAGCCGAGATTGGCACATTGAAATCTCGGGGCTTGGCGGCCCCAAAGCGCCTTCCAGCAAATCCCAGACAGCTGGAATTTCCGGTTTGCCGCAAGCCCGCCTTAGTCTAGCGGTTAAGCCACCGGCTCAGAAGCCCACGTGCGCGGGCTCAAATCCCGCCCCCGTCATTTTTGCTCTTTGCCGCCTCTTCCCAGACCTGGATTTAGAGCTGCTTGTCCTTTTCCGGAGGAGGCGGCAAAAAGCAAAAATGACAGGGGCGGGATTCGAGCCCGCGCACGTGGGCTTCTGAGCCGGTGGCTTAACCGCTAGACTAAGGCGGGCTTGCGGCAAACCGGAAATTCCAGCTGTCTGGGATTTACTGGAAGGCGCTTTGGGGCCGCCAAGCCCCGAGATTTCAATGTGCCAATCTCGGCTCACAGAGAAATTTCGGGGCGATAAAATTGGGATGTCGGGGCGATGAAATAGGCGTGTCGGGGTGATCAAAATACGGAGCATCTCCGTTGCCGCACAGCATCCATATGCGCACCATGATAATGTTCAGAGCAGAGCTCATCCATTACAGTGGCAGTGATAGCACTGGTAATAATTGTGGTGGTAGTCGTCGTCGCAGTGGTTGTCGCAGTAGTAGTAGTCGTAGTAGCTGTAGTAGTAGTAGTAGTAGTAGT